GCAGTTTCTACCATCTCTGGGTCCGAAGAGGACCCGGAGAGCAGTGGGGGGACAGAATCCTCACCACTCTCATCCGCCTCCTCTGTCGCCAGTGAGCAGCAGTGCGCAGTTCGAGAACGCCACCGAGCCGCCTCCTGCACCTCCTGCCCCGTGGAACCAGGTAAGTGCTGCACAGCACACACAGACCCTGCTACGGGCCGCCTCCCCGAGAGAGCCTCCCGAGCCGCATCCCTGTGTTCCACCTCGCTGCCCCACTCCGGGTACGCCTACGGTCCCTTTGGTCCCGCTTGCACGGTCTCTGAGAGCCTGGTTAGCGCTCCCCGGTCCGTCTCGCTGGCTCATTCGGACCATCAGGCTCGGCTATGCGATTCAGTTCGCCCGGCGCCCCCCCAAGTTTCGGGCCATCCACTCCACTACAGTGAGAGCAGCCGATGCCCATGTCTTGCGTGCGGAGATCGCAGTCCTGCTGGCGAAGGACGCGATAGAGCCGGTCCCTCCAGCCGATATGAGGTCAGGGCATTACAGTCCCTACTTCATTGTACCCAAGAAAGGTGGTGGGTTACGACCAATCTTGGATCTGCGAGTTTTGAATCGGAGCCTCCACAAGCTACCGTTCAAAATGCTCACGCAGAGACGCATTTTCGGATGCATCCGTCCCCAAGATTGGTTTGCAGCGATCGACCTGAAGGACGAGTACTTTCATGTCTCGATTCTTCCTCGACACAGGCCGTTTCTGCGCTTTGCGTTCGAGGGTCGAGCATATCAGTACAAGATCCTGCCCTTCGGGCTGTCCCTGTCTCCCCGTGTCTTCACGAAAGTCACGGAGGGGGCCCTTGTTCCCATGAGAAAACAGGGCGTTCGCCTCCTCAACTATCTCGACGACTGGCTTATACTAGCACACTCTCGAGATCAGTTATGCGAACACAGGGACCTCGTGCTCACGCACCTCAGCCAGTTGGGCCTTCAGGTCAACTGGGAAAAGAGCAAACTCGCCCCTGTGCAGAGGATCTCTTTTCTCGGTATGGAGTTGGATTCGGTCGCACAGACAGCGCGCCTCACAGAGCAGCGCGCTCAGTCGGTGCTGAACTGCTTGAACACGTTCAAAGGCAGGACAGCGGTCCCACTGAAATTTTTTCAGAGGCTCCTGGGGCATATGGCGGCGGCAGCAGCGGTAACTCCGCTCTGCTTGCTTCATATGAGACCGCTTCAGCACTGGCTTCACGGCCGAGTCCCGAGATGGGCGTGGCATCATGGCACTCACCGGGTGGCAATCACACCGGCCTGCCACCAGACCTTCAGCCCGTGGTCAGACCTCTCGTTCCTTCGGGCAGGAGTCCCCTTGGAACAGGTCTCCAGGCATGCTGTGGTTTTCACAGATGCCTCCGCCACCGGCTGGGGTGCCACGTACAACGGGCATGCAGTGTCAGGGGTGTGGACGGCTCCCCAACTGCATTGGCACATCAATTGCCTCGAGTTGCTAGCAGTACATCTTGCTCTGAGCCGCTTGAAAAGGTCGCTACAGGGCAGGGACGTACTGGTCCGTACGGACAATACAGCGACCGTTGCGTACATCAACCGACAAGGTGGTCTACGCTCCCGTTGCATGTCGCAACTCGCCCGCCATCTCCTCCTCTGGAGTCAGAAGCGTCTGAGGTCGCTTCGAGCCATGTATGTCCCTGGCGTGCTCAACCGTGTGGCCGACGAGCTATCCCGAGCTGTGCTTCCGGGAGAATGGCGACTCCACCCTCAGGTGGTTCAGCTGATCTGGAGAGAGTTCGGAGAGGCTCAGGTAGACCTGTTTGCCTCTTCAGAGACCTCCCACTGCCAGCTGTTTTACTCCCTGACCGAGGGAACACTCGGCACGGACGCACTGGCACACAGCTGGCCCCGGGGCCTCCGCAAATATGCGTTTCCCCCAGTGAGCCTACTTGCACAGACACTGTGCAAAGTCAGGGAGGACGAGGAGCAGGTCCTTCTGGTGGCTCCCTATTGGCCCACCCGGACTTGGTTCCCAGAACTCATGCTCCTTGGGACAGTCCCTCCCTGGCCCATTCCTCTGAGGAAGGATCTTCTGACTCAGAGACGGGGCACCCTATGGCACCCGCGTCCAGACCTCTGGAAACTCCATGTCTGGTCCCTGGACGGGACGCGGAGGTTCTAGGTGACTTACCCCCTGAGGTACTTAACACCATCACTTCAGCACGGGCGCCGTCCACGAGACGTGTTTATGCCCTGAAGTGGAACCTGTTCATCGAGTGGTGTTCTTCTCGCCGAGAAGACCCCCGGAGATGTTCGATAGGGTCTGTGCTTTCCTTCTTGCAGCAAGGGTTGGAGCGAAGGCTGTCTCCCTCCACCCTCAAAGTACATGCTGCCGCTATTTCAGCTTATCACGACCACATAGATGGCAAAACAGTGGGGAAGCATGACCTGGTCGTCAGGTTTCTTAGGGGGGCGAGACGATTAAATCCTCCTCGATTCCCCTCCATACCCTCTTGGGATCTTTCCCTGGTGCTTCGAGCACTTCAGGATGTTCCCTTTGAGCCTCTGCAGTCAGTAGACTTAAAGCTTCTTTCCATGAAGACTTTGCTGCTGGTTGCACTGGCCTCTGTCAAGAGGGTAGGAGACCTGCACGCATTTTCGGTCGACGAATCGTGCCTAGAGTTCGGGCCGGGTGACAACCATGTGGTACTAAGACCCCGGCCTGGCTATGTGCCCAAGGTTCCTACCACTCCCTTCAAAGACCAGGTAGTGAACCTGCAAGCGCTGCCTTTGGAGGAGGCAGACCCAGCCCTGGCTTTGCTCTGTCCCGTTCGCGCTCTGCGTATGTACGTGGACAGAACTCAAAGCATCAGGACCTCAGACCAGCTCTTTGTCTGTTACGGAGGCCAGCAGAGGGGAAAGGCTGTCTCCAAGCAGAGGATGGCCCACCGGATAGTGGATGCCATCGCCTTGGCTTACCAAGCTCAAGGCGTGCCCTGCCCGCTCAGGTTGCATGCACACTCCACGAGAGGCATTGCATCCTCCTGGGCGCTGACACGTGGCTCCTCGCTAACAGATATCTGTAGAGCTGCGGGCTGGGCGACACCTAACACGTTCGCTAGATATTATAGCCTACGTGTAGAGCCGGTCTCCTCCCGTGTTCTCACCCTAAACAGGTAGATGCACCGAGAGGCCCGGCTCTGTCGGCTTGCTGCACCCTACTGTGCACCCTTATTGCTCCAGAGTGAAAAACCTGTTGAGTCCTCCAAAAACCCCTCGGCCCGGACATGGCGGAGCGTCCAGGTGCCAGGCCTTTATCCACTGAATCCTTGAGAACCGGATCTGGGCTGGGTTCCATATGTGTGACCCTACGGGGATCCCATATGTGTATAATTCCACGGCTGCTCCTAACGGAAGCCCGTGTCTTTCCCTTGGGCTAAGTCACCCACTATCTCATATGTAGTACAGCCTTCGGGCTAGTCCGTATGTCTTCCCCACATAACTCCTTGAAGTAAGTGGCTTCCGCAGCGTCCTCCTTCCTAACTGAAGGGCACGCTTTCCCAGTGTTATCAAATAATCTCACTGTATGGGTTATTACGGAACAACAGTGACAGATACACTCTGTGTGTAGCCTCCTCCTATCGTCCTTCTAGGCAAGAAGGTGTAGAGGCTTGCATGGGGCGCTGGATGGGGTGCAGCAGCTGTGGCGCTTTGGTAGGGATTCCTATTGGTCAGTCTGACCTACGTTGTAGTGACTGACCGATAGGGAACGTCTCGGTTACATATGGTAACCCTCGTTCCCTGAGGGAGGGAACGGAGACGTAGGTCCCGTCGCCACATCTGCTGCCGCCCGCCGGGGGGCCAGCTTTTTCAGGTTTGGCTCCTCAGCAAAAAACTAGTGTGCAATCATAACAGCTGCTGTTAAATACCCGCGCTGACGAGGACGCGCAGCTGATGCAAATGATTGCATGCCAATGTGCATTGGCTTGTTTTAGTTTCACTCGAAGTAGATTGGCTCTCTAGCGAGATTCCTATTGGTCAGTCTGACCTACGTCTCCGTTCCCTCCCTCAGGGAACGAGGGTTACCATAAGTAACCGAGACGTTTCTTGGGATACTTTGAAAGAATACTCATCAGAAAAATTGCTTTTTTTCCCTTTTTTGTGTTAGGAAATAATGAACTCTATCCTACTTCTTATTCAGTTACTGTGACTGAGATGATATTGTTGACATGTAAATGCAGAATATGGAAACCGGGATAATTGTAACGCTCAATAAATATCACACTGGAAATAACACAATATGCTAACCATAACCTTATCACCAATGTGCCAGCACAATTCAATACTTCCTAAAATAAAATTTTCAGTAATGACAGGCACAGATATTTTTTTTAAAACCTGTTTGGAGCATGAGCAGTAAAAATGGTTTCTATTAGTGATTTTCATTTACAATAAATCAAATTCTACATTTTTAGCCTGGTTTGGTTGCAATATTACAATAAATTGGGCTGCAATGCATGAAGTATGCCAACCCATCATACATTTATCATAATCGTATTGAGTAGATTTTAAACTATCGTTGTAGTGACGTTTATGGATTTTTTTTAAAGTGTCATTTTGGGACTTAAAGTTCACTTAAAGTTAATATTTTAAACTATATTTTGCATATTAACCTATTTGTTGTGCTTGCTTGTGTGTCAAATTTTCAAATATATAAAACTATTACTTTCACATTTGGAAAAGGCTCGTCTATACATGATATTGCCTTTCTGAACTTTCTTCATTTAATGCATGAAAATGTAATTTTCTACTTTACGAGTGTAAAATAGGTCAAAAACTTGTTGCCTCTCCCAGTTGCATCCGTTTTCATTTTTTAGTCCACTAAAACCCAAACAGCTCTAAAGAGAAGACTGAAACTGTAAGAAGGAAGCAGTTTACTGTTATAATATAATTTTGAAAGGTCCACATGGCCCAACAGCCTGAGGTGAAACACGAGTGTTTGTATGAGTGTGTGAACGCACAGACTGCTGCAGGTCAGGGATGACCACACAGATGAGCGTTGTGTCTCGCAGGCTGTTGTCCAGTCGGCCACTGGTAGGTCGATCCAGCCTGGGAGGCTCATCTCGGGAACTGTCTGATTCCGAACTGACCGAGTCCGAGAAACTCTGAGCCATTTCCTCCTCGCTAGACATGGGGCTCCGCGGCATGATCAACACTGTGGAGAGAGAGAGACAATTTTACAATAAATTCAATAGCGTGCATAATCCATACTTTTTCTTTCAATTTTAAATAAAGTTTTTAAAAAAAACTTAAGTAAACTAACTAAATTAAATTACACAAAAATATTAACCAATGAATAAATAAATACCCAATGCTGGAAAATGAAAATGATTTGCTTGTAAGTATTTCATAGCAATATTCTAGTTTAAAATTACCTTGTAAAGATTGCATGCAGATCAAATCTACAATGATCTGTAATGTAAAGTAGAGTCCTGCGCGGGACTGTTTTCTTCATCCCGCTCCCGCCCGCGCCCGCCGAATTTTTTACCATTACCGCCCGCTCCCGCAACGTAAGTTATGTGAACATTACACTCCCGCCCGCTCCCGCAATATGTATGTCCACTCCCGCCCGCACCCGCAAAACTCGGATAATTTATTCCCGCACAATAATAGAGATGCACTGACTTTGTGTCTTCTCCCGTCCCGCAGGAAAAAAACGCGTATTTGTATTGCTATTGTTAAAGAGATTCATGGGGTTGTTGGTTTCGTTTCCCTGGCCTGCATGTATTCTGACGCACTGATCAGGAAGATGAATAGTAAATGTCAGACTTGCCTTGCTCAGGTTTTGTGCTGTAAATACCTCGTTTAAGGTTCTTTTCCACATCATTGACATCTCCATCATGTCGTTAGGCTACCTCCCAATCCCGCAGAGGTTTTTTGTCCGCCCATTCCCGCCCGCAGCAAATGGTGCGTTCACGTGCTATGGTAATTATGGTAAATACCAAAAGCCGACATGGAAAATGCACATGAACACCCCCTCATGTGGTATTTTCCACTGGGCAACTCGTAGAATATTTTGATGCACGAGTTGCCGAGATGAGATTACCTTTGACCTTTTCAAAATGGCGGAGAGCAACGCAAGATTTGTGAATGGTAAAAATATGTCCTATTCATGATCTAGAAAATATACAGCATATTATTTACGGTTGAGTTTTGATAAATCATTTTCTTGCTGTAGCAGATGACTTAAGCAATCTAAAATAGTTTTAGCTAAATAACAGGTCTGGATCTCCATCTTTTTACCACATTATGACAACAAAAGCACTTGAACACAACACACCAGTTCACAAGTGGAAAATATCATATTTTCCATAGCACGTGAACGCACCAAAAGTTCAAACCGCCCGCTCCCGCGAGATTTGCGTTGGGTCCCGCGGGACCCGGCGGGACTCAATCCCAATGCAGCCCTCTAATGTAAAGATCAACATGCACTTAAACTGCAGCATATGAATATAATTCTAATTCCCAAAATGCACCAAAAAAAAAAAAACTATTTGTCTTAATAAAAAGGCAGTGAAAACATTATTTTTTTAATTACTGGAAAATACAATACTGGAATTAACTGGAATATAATTTGGAAAATAAAATAACATATTGGAAAAACTGGAAAATAAAATACTGGATAATAACTGGATTTTTTTTTTTAAATAAATAAAATAAAATGGAAAATAAAATAAAATGGAATTAACTGGAATATAATTTAGAAAATAAATTAAAATATTAGCCAAAAATAATATACTGAAAAATACAATTCTGGATAATAATATAAAGTGAAAAATAAACTAAAATAAAAATATGATGAATAACCTATAATACAACATCACAAACCAACTCTAAGTGGTTCAAATGGTTCCTGAAGAGGGTCATTTGATGGATCAGCCTATTGTCCAGTCTAGGCGAAGTCATTTCAGAGGCGAAGTAAGTTATTATAACTTGACAAAAGATTGCCAAGACAATCTTGTTTTATTTTGAATTAAAATAATGTGCACCGATGAATCACAATAAGCACAAAGACCAGGAACATATTAATAAAGTAAAGATGTCACGGTTCATGGATTCATTGACTCGCCCTCGCTAGGTGTGTGCGTGTTGTGTGAATGGGCGCGGCTCATCAGCACGGCTCGTTATCTCCGCTGATGAGCTGATCAGCGCCAGCTGTTTTGAATGAGAATGTCCTATATATTGTTTGTCATGTTGTCTGGTCTCTGTCAGATGGTTGTTGAGGTTTACGGATTACTCACCGTCCTTTCTCCTTGCCCAGTGTCTGTTCTCCTGTTGTTTGGACTCTGCCCTGTTCTGAGGAGCGTCAGCCGTATCCAGTCTGTTCCTGATCCGGTGTTTTCCGCCTCGTTCTGGGAAGCAGCAGCCGCTTCCAGAGACTGTTCCTGATCTGTGGTATCTGCCCTTTTCTGAGAGGATTCTGCTGTTTCCTGCCTTGCCGTCTGCCCACGGAGTCCTGTGTTACCGAGCCTGTGTTCTGTCGCCTGTCTGTCGTCCACTGCATTGTTTGCCACTACCTTGTGTTTAATAAACACCTGTATTTACTCGCGATTGAATCCACGACTGTTCTTTCGTGCCGTGACAGAACCATCTGACCACCTACATGGATTCAGCGAGTGCAGCCGAGGTCGGGAAGATGGTCGCCGAGAACCACGCCCGCATGGATCGACAAGATGAACAGATCGGATCCTCGGGTCGGGCGATACAGGCTCTGGTAACACAGGTGTCGGAGCTCACCTCTCAAATACAACGTCTGAGAGGTCCCGCTGCGCCAGCCCCGCCCCCGCCTGTTCCCCCGGAGTCTCCGAACTTCAACCGACCAGAGCCGCGCATTCCCACTCCGGAGAGGTATTCTGGGGAACCAGACCTGTGCAGAGCGTTTTTAACAAAATGCTCTATTTTTTTCTCTCTCCAGCCTGTGACGTTTTCCTCTGAGGAGAGTAAGGTGGCACTCGTTATGACGCTGCTGTCTGGACGCGCGGCTCAGTGGGGAACAGCGGTGTGGCAGAATAGACACGCTTGCTGCTCCTCGTTCCAAGCACTCGAGCAAGAGATGAGGCGCGTGTTCGACCGCGCGGTTGCCGGACGGGAGGCGGCCCGCCATCTTGTCGATCTCCGTCAGAATAACAGCTCTGTTTCCGACTATTCCATCCAGTTTCGGACATTGGCCGCCGAGTGCAAATGGAACGAGGAGGCGCAGTGGGACCTTTTCCTGCATGGGCTGGCTGACCGTGTTCAGAAGGAAATTTACACACTGGAATTACCCAAGACTCTTGATGGACTGATTGAACTGGCAATCCGAGTCGATGCACGCCTACAACAGAGAGGGAATCGACAGTTCCAGACTCCGAGGGTGGAGGTCGCGGAGTTTCCCGGTTTCAGAGTAACGAACACGGTCAGTTCCTCGAACGATCCGGAGCCCATGCAGGTAGGTCGAGCTCGACTCTCCCGGGAGGAGAGAGAACACCGCCGCTCGAGGGGTCTGTGTCTTTACTGCGGGGAGGCCGGCCACTTCGTTTCCACCTGTCCTTTAAAAGGCCAAGCCCGGCGGTAGGACGGAGGCTACTGTCGGGCGGACTTTCCTTGACCAGACCCTCGAACGCCACCCTCCTCCCGGTGAGACTCCAGTGGGCAGATCATTCCTTCAACGGCCAGGCGCTGGTGGATTCAGGAGCGGAGGGAAACCTGATGGACTCGTCGTTGGCCCACAAGCTTCACCTCCCCATCACTGCCTTGGACCACCCTATCACCATCCACGCACTAAATGGACAGGAACTCCCGGGCATCACTCACATTACTGGGCTCGTCACACTCATCACTTCGGGTAACCACACTGAGAGGATTTCACTCTATCTCACTCGGTCACCTCACGCTCCCCTTGTCCTGGGTCATCCGTGGCTGGTGACACACGGACCCCGGATAGAGTGGGGACAGAACTCTGTGTCCAGTTGGAGTGAGAAATGTTATGCCTCATGTCTTTTGTCTGCTGTTCCGTCTGTTTCTCGTTCTGTGTTGCAGGAGGAGCCAGTGAACCTGTCTAACGTGCCACCGGAGTATCTAGACCTGAAGGAAGTGTTCAGTAAGTCCCGGGCTGCTTCTCTTCCTCCGCATCGTCCTTACGACTGTGCTATATTTGGGCTTTCCAACTCCCCAGCGGTCTTCCAGGCACTCGTCAATGATGTGTTGAGAGACATGGTAGATCAGTTCATATATGTTTACCTGGATGACATATTGATTTTTTCTTCGTCTCTCCAGGAGCACGTTCAACACGTCAGACGAGTGCTTCAGAGGTTGCTAGAGAATGGGCTTTTTGTCAAGGCGGAGAAATGCGCGTTTCATGCACAGTCTGTTCCTTTTCTAGGGTACATCATCTCGTCTGAGGGAATACGAATGGATCCTGAGAAGGTTAAGGCTGTGGTGGAGTGGCCAAGTCCAGATTCCCGTAAGGCCCTACAGAGGTTTCTGGGGTTCGCCAACTTCTACCGGCGTTTTATTCGCAACTTCAGCCAACTAGCCGCGCCTCTGACTGCCTTGACCTCCCCCAGAACGGTGTTCAGGTGGTCAGACACAGCGGAGGCTGTGTTTGCTAAACTTAAGGGCCGCTTCGTTTCAGCCCCCATCCTTATAGCCCCTGATTCATCACGTCAGTTCGTGGTGGAGGTCGATGCGTCAGAGGTAGGGGGTAGGAGCAGTGCTGTCCCAGCGTTCTCCCACAGACGACAAGATGCATCCCTGCGCGTTTTTTTCCCGCCGCTTATCGCCTGCCGAACGTAACTACGACATCGGTAACAGAGAGTTGTTGGCAGTCAAGTTAGCGTTGGAAGAATGGCGTCACTGGCTAGAGGGGTCGGGGGTACCTTTTATCGTCTGGACCGATCACAAGAACTTGGAATATATCAGAACTGCCAAAAGATTGAACTCCAGGCAGGCTCGGTGGGCACTTTTTTTCGGTCGTTTTGATTTTGTTCTCTCGTATCGCCCGGGTTCCAAGAACATCAAACCCGACTCTTTATCTCGTATTTTTGACCGTTCCGAACGCCCGTCTACTCCCGAGTGCATTTTACCCGAGACCCTATTTGTCTCCACACTCACATGGGAGGTCGAGTCGAAGGTCAAGTCGGCCTTAGAAGGGGTAACGCCTCCGCCCGGTTGCCC